TGTGTTTCCTATGCGACCCACCTCACAAAACAGAGACTCAAGTCATCGTTCACTATTTCCTTCTTCCTCACCATTAATATCCACTAAATGTCCGATCATTTTTATTCTAACTCCTTAATATCTCCCAGCTTAGATTTTCATACTACCCTTATTGCTACTATTTTAGTTCATTTCTACTTTGGCTTTTATGTGAACTATACCAAGACATTCATAAATGGTCTTTCTACTGTAGAATTTACTCTTCCACTCCCTGCTCTACACTGTAAAAAGAACGATATTTGTAAAAACACTGTTCTGACAATATTTCTCCATAATTTAAAAACTCTTAAGAATAATTCCAAATGTCTGTCTAAAGATGGCATCCTGGGTTTTCCCTGATCCTTTCCTACTCCCTTTTCCAGTCTCAGGCCATATATTCTCACTCGCATATCTTGTGTTGCTGCTACGTTGAATGGTTTCTAGTTCCTTGACTATTCTGTGCCTTTATTAGCTTCCAGCCTTCAAATACCCTCCTTCTTCTTGGATCCCTGTCTGATTTCTTTTCCTTATTCTCTCCTGGTCATTATTTAGGATTCATCTTAGAGTGACTTCTTGCAGGAAACCTTTGTTGATGTCCCCTTGGCAAAGCTGAGCAGGTTGTATCTCTCACAACCTGGTCCCTGGTACTCCCGTGCTTATCCCTGTTTCAGTTAATGTCACACTCCATTGTAACTGTTCATGTAGCTTCCTTTCACTTACACTGTAATACTGTGCTTTATTTGTAATTGCAGTCCTGTTACCAAGCACAGTCTAGCTTGGCCTTTTGTAGCAATTTAGAAGTATTTAATTTATAATATAAGTTTAATTAACTAGTAACAGAATGATTGAGTGATTGATGAACTTATTGGCAAACATTCATAAACCAATTAAGAGTGCAGTTTTAGGTTTGAGGTGTAAACATACAGCCCAGCAGAGCTATGATGTTGGGTTTGATCAGATGACGTTTTGTAACAGGAAGGAAATAGCACTGTAAAAGTTCTTTACATGAACCTGCATGATATATACTAGGCAGTATATTAGGCAGTTTATCTCTATTTTTACATGGCAGTGAGTAGAATAGAAGTTCTTTGAGCCAAAAAGTGTAAGGTAATTATTTTATTGTTGCTATATAGTCTTCTGTATTATTTGTGTTATTTTTTCACTTGGGTCTAAAAGGTTTATATAAAAGTACCTTGTTACTCTGAATAATCTGTTAGAAAAATAGTCAACTATTACAATAATATAAGAACACCTGCTGTGTTCCAACCACAGTGTTGGATATTTTATGTTTATTATTTTGTCAAGCTCTCCTCGCTCAGACAACTCTGAAATAGGTAAAATCATTCCCATTTTACAGATTGAGGTTTTCCCCTCAAAATCATTTCCCGTTTTACATGGTTGAGAGTACAGGGACTATGCTTCAAACCCTGGACTCCTGATTCCTTGATTTGTGGGTGAGACCTTTCCCCTTTTATAATTTCAGTTGACTCTTGGGACAAATAAAATGAACTCCCCCCTCACCTCTCACTTCTGTATGGAGTTAAGTAAAACCAACATGGCTTTCATACCTTTTCATCCATAATAAAATGACTATAACTGAGAGTGTGGATTCTACTGTTAGTAAAACATTAACCAGAAGTAGGAGTTATGTAGGCATGAGCAATCCGTAGATACAAACAGAAACGACATAAAATAAGATGGAAAAAATTAAATACAAGCATTGGAGTTTTGAGGCAACAAAAGGTCAGGGTATTAGGTTAGGGTTAGAGTTGGGGTGGCTTTATCCATCTGCATGCAAAGGAGTAACATACCATTGGTCAAAGGTATCATTCATGACAGTGCCAACATCATACCAATAATTTCAAAAATGTTTTTCTAAAGAAACAACATTTAAATGCAGGAGTAACTTTTGGACTGTGTTTGTCATGTTATCTTAGCATTTAGTAAATGCCATTCTAGTTAACCATGAGCAATATGTGAATGTAGTAAAAACCTGGAGCAGTGTTACTCAGCTCTTGCCAATGAGAGAAATGTAAATGGAAGATTCTCTCGTGTTTATCAAGGATGAAGGAAGGAAGGGGTAGAAGTCACAGAAGCACTTTGACTCTAGAGTCAGAAGAGTTTAAGGTTTGGGCAAGTTACCTTTGTAAGCTTCAGTTTCCTCTCTTGGAAAGTGGAGAAAATGCTGCTGCCTAGGTCAGAGGGGTCTCTGTGAAGATTTAATGAGAGGAGAGTATTGTGCCTGGCTCGTAGCAGGGACTAGATAAATGCCATTATTGTTAGTGCTGTTGTTGATGGCCATGCTCTGCTCTCACGAAGGGGAAGACCATATTGTTTCAGTTGAGTCCACATGTCAAAAAAAAAACATCAGGTGGCTTTCCATATCTGTGGAGACTGGCCTCAGGTTTGTGTGAAACCAGCCACATTATATGAGCCTGAGATTTGGAGAGACTGCAGTTATTTTGGTTAACTACAAGATCTCGTGGGCATGCATTTCTACTACAGGAAAGAGCAAGCTTTGTTGTGAAATAGATCTTCTTATTCCATTTGGAGAAGCATTAAAATCCTTTTTCCTTTTTTTCTCAGTCTGGAAGCATCAACATTTTTAATGGTTTCTTCATTAATTAGAGAATTGGTTTATTTCTGGTGACATCTAAGTGCCAGATTACAAACAACTTCAGTCAGTATCCACTGAACCCATAAAAGTGGAATCAGTAAGATTACTTGTGACTATCATATATTATTGTGAATCAGATAGTCTCTTCCTCCAAACTAAAACCATGCCTATCATGTCATATGCTTTCTTGGACATTGTTCAAAATAGAGGAATTGGGAACTAGGAAAGATTATTTTTGGATTCAACTCTGCTTAGTCTCCAAAAAAATAAATAAATAAATAAATAAAACAAAACAAGGCACTTAGTTCTGCAGAATAAGCAATTGGGTTTAAGTTTTCTCTCTTAAGTAAGCCACTTGGCATTCTGTGTTGAACTAGTTCAAAAGTTCAAACAAGTTGATACAAACATCTTAAGTTCACATTCTTCTCTGCATATAGCTAAACCTTTTTTTTAAAACAAGGTATTTTGAAGGGAATAATTTAAAGAAATAGTTTTAGAAGCATTGCCATTTTTTTTAAGAAGAGTTCAGCTTCAGGTTTGCTAGGAGTGGCTCTGTTCCTGTGTGAATCCAAACTAAAGGTCACATTGAGAAAAGAAACATACTAAGGACTCTGATTTCAACAAGTTTGCAAGGTCTGATGGAAAGACTTCAAAATTAGTTAGAACCCTAGCTTTACCACTTTAGGCAAGGTAATTAGCATTTCTTGGCCTTATGTACCCCATCTGCACAACTGTGAAACTACTACTTATTTTAAAGGCCGTTGTGAGGATTAATGAGATGATGTCCCTAAAATGCCAAGGCTGGTATCTGGCACATAGCAGGGCTAAATAATGCTTCTCATCTCCCCTCTTTGGCATCATAATTGAAAACTTTACCAGTGGTTTGAGATTGCTTCTCTTTTATCAGAATTCTTTGTAAGCAGTAGCAAATTTGGCTTTCAATTCAAGGGATAGAGAAAAAAATCTTCAAACTATAACAACATTTTACTGATTCAGAGTAATTCAGTCAAAGTTTTTAGCTATTAATTCTTGGAATTTAGAATATTTTAGGAGAATGGGAGCATGGCACTCTATCGAAGTTAGATTACCAAAATACTACTTTCTGCTTTAATGAATGGGTAGCTTTGAAATGTTGGCATTCTGATTACTATAGGATAATATACTGTGTAAACTATTTTGGAAAAGGGTTGTTTACTTAATATTTTAAAATCTCGGGGCGCCTGAGTGGCCCAGTTGGGTAAGCATCCGACTTCGGCTCAGCTCATGATCTCACAGTTCATGGGTTTGAGCCCTGCGTCCAGCTCTGTGCTGACAGCTCAGAGCCTGGAGCCTGTCTTCGGATTCTGTCTCCCTCTCTCTCTGACCCTCCCCTGCTCGTGCTCTCTCTCTCTCTAAAAAATAAATAAAACGTTAAAAAAAAAAATCTCCTTGTCATTTTTCCCCCTTTTGATAGCTTAGAGCTATTTTTTAAAAAATTACCAACTCCTGGCTGACTGATCACAAATAATTACAAGAATCTAAATTATGAAATTTTAATTATTGTTAATTCTTATATTTTGAAACATGTTTCCAAAGTAAGAGCTGTATTCTAATTCTGATGTATCTTAGCTATGAAAAAGAAAATTATCCTTTCTTCTTCTACCTTTGTCAAAATATTTTAATGTCCTGAGACCATCTATAACAAATAACATGAACATTGCATTCTCTTTTTTCTTCAGTTTCTCTCTCTTGATAATACAAGAGATTATACTTTCTCTATATTTTACCCTTGAATGGTTTATTATTTCCAATTATTTATTTATCTATTTTTAAAGAATTTTTAAATGCTTATTTTTGATAGAGACATTGCAATGGGGGAGGGGCAGAGAGAGAGGGAGGCAGAATCCAAAGCAGGCTCCAAACTCTGAGCTGACAGCTTGATGTGGAGCTCGAACCCACAAACCATGAGATCATGACCTGAGCAGAAGTGGGACACTTAATTGACTAAGCCACCCAGGCGCCCCTCCAACTTTTTTATCCTTCATAATCTTGTGATGGTAGTAATATCTGAAGACAGGGGAAATATGCTAAGTCAGTTCTAAGCATTTTTTTTTCATTCTTTTTGGGTTTTTGGAAAGACAGCCTCAGCATTTCTCTTAATGAGTTTTTTAATGTTTCTATTTATGCTAATACTTCTTTTAGGAAAAATTAGATCATTTAAGGAATTTGCCTTTGGCTACCAAGTAAGGACTGGATATAAGAAAGAAAAAAGCTAGGATAACTGATGAAAAGTAAACGTTCTTGCTGGTTTTGAATTACATGCAGAAATAAAAATCTCTCACAATCCTCTGGTTTTTAATTTATTTTTAATTATTGTTTCTTCCAGAACTCTTGATGTTTCAGTGAGCTTTAATGGCGGAAAATCTGTCATTTCGAGCTCATTGATAGTCACAGCCACAGAATGTGTAAGTAAAAAGTTGCATAAGGTTACTTTTAAAAATGATTCTATACAGAAATAATTTTTGGATTCTGAGTGTTGTTGGATATTAGAAAAAGGAAGATGCCAGCAATGACACTGGAGACGGCCACTAGGAAAACTTTGTATAGAATTTATTTTAGATTTTGTTTTTTTTCTTTAGTCTCATTAAAAAGAGATTTTAAGATAGTATAAAAATTATTCTGATATTCATAAAATTCAAAAGTCCTATTTAAAAATCAAAATAAGGTAGGAGAATGATTTTCAGATGAAACATTTTTCTTAAAACATCATTATCAAAATGGAATCATTTTTTCTCTTATGAAGGTTGGATTATTGTGTCTAAGACATTGATCATGTTATGAAATTATGAGTGTATTTTAATATGATCTCATATTTTTGTCCTTTTTAAATGTTGGTGCTTTATAACGTGAGTAAATAATTTGATTTTGATACCTTGATATATCTTGGTTAGAAACTCTATTTTACTTGAAATGATTCATTTGTTTTACCTAAGATGCAATAATTTCAACTGTAAACTTCATTTTAAGATAGTGTTTGCCTTGTAGATAATTTTTGGGGTTCATGGAAAGTTTTCATATTCAGTTGAACATGAAGACAGCACTAAAAGAGACTGATCACATGGCTATTATTTTTATATTATCTTTGTAAAACTACAGTAGTCAAAGCAAAAAACCCAAAATCCTTTCCCTTCAAAACACTTTCTCATATCTCATGGTTCATGGTTTTATATTTCGATCTTTATTTTTTAATAAATATTTTTATTTTTATTTATTTTGAGATGGGGGTGGAGAGAGAGCAGGCATGGGGCAGAGAGAGAGGGAGAGAATCTCAAGCAGGCAACCTGCTGCCAGTGGCGAGCCCGACATGGGGCTTGAATCCACAGACCATGAGATCATTACCTGAGCCTAAATCAAGTGTCAGATGCTTAACTGACTGAGCCACCCAGGTGCCCCTATATTTTGATCTTTTCATTGGAGAGACATCCTTCCTTTAAAACACAAAATAACTCACTATTATATAGAGACAGTTGTCTTTCTCACTGTAAGAAAACATTGCAAGGAAAACAAAACAACCATAGGGACCTTGGTCCACTACTGAATGCTCTGGATAACTCTTTATCAACACCTGTCTCTGTTTTAACTACCTAAGTTTTTTTCCTCTTTTTATTTGCAAGTCATGTTGCAATTTGCAGGTTTTCTTGTCTCTCAGGATGTGGTTAGATTACAAATTAGGTAGTTTCTCGGTGATTAGCTCACTAAAATGACGCTCTTTCTCCATCCTTCCTCTTATTCTTTTTTTTTTTTTAATTTTTTTTTAATGTTTCCTTATTTTTGAGAGAGAGGGAGAGAGAGAGGGTGTGTGTGAGCTAGGGAGGGGCAGAGAGAGAGGGAGACACAGAATCTAAACAGGGTCCAGACTCTGAACTGTCAGCACACAGCCCGATGTGGGGCTCAAACCCACAAACTGTGAGATCATGACCTGAGCTGAAGTCAGATGCTTCACCAACTGAGTCACGCAGGCATCTCATCCTTCCTCTTATTCTGTTCTTCTAGCCATTCTTTCTCATCCTTGTATAGGATACAAGTCTTTGTATTCTGTATTATATACAGAAAGAAAAATCTCCCACAATCCTCTGTTTTTTAAATTTATTTCTAATTATTGTTTTCTTTTTCATTTTCCTCTTTTTATTTACAATTCATCTTGCAACTTGCAGGTTTTCTCATCTCTCAGGATGTGGTAGGATTACAAATTATGTAGATTCTCAGTGATCAGCTCCCATACTATTGTATCTTATACAAAGCCTTGTATCCTATAGCCGTTGACAATTATGGTGTGCAGGATGCTGAGGTTAATTGATTCACTTTGGAATTTACAAGTCATGTACTTTTAAGGAAGTCTTCCTAGGTCTTTCTGGTTCTCAGGAGAGAACATTGTGACTCAAGGTAGTTTAAGAGTGAGGCGATTTTAGAAGGAGTGACATTGGTTGTGTCAGAGATGGAGAGGGTGTAGGTAGGGACAAGTTGTAATATTCAGTAGGGGATCAAAGTAATTTTCATTGCACAGGTGAAATTTGAATAAAGACTGAGGAAGGTGAGGAAGTGAACTCTGAAGACCACACAAGGAAAGAGTGTTTCGTGCAGCAGGAGTAAATAGAATGAAGCCTAAAGGATCATTCGGTCATTCTATCTGACAAGCTTAAAGCAAAGCAAGGTGGCCAGTGGGCTGGAATGGAGGTACCCTGGGAAAGCAGGAGTCTCAAAAAAAGTAGGAGAGAATGAGGGGAAGGGGCCGACTTTTTCTTCAGAGTGGATTGGGGAGCTATTGGAAGGTGATATGATATGACTTATTACTTTGAAAAGATCACTCTGGCTACTGTGTAAAAATACACCTTGCAGAGAGGGGCAAATGTGGAAATACAGAGACCAATTTTTTGACTGTTTAAATAATCTAGAAGAGGGGAGGATGGCTCCACTAAATGTGAGGTGGAAAGAAGTGATTGGATTTGAATACATCTGAGTAAAGGTGGGATCCCTGGGATGTCTAGACAGAGTAGATATGGGTGTGAGAGGACATTCACAATAATTCTAAATGTTTTCACCTGAGCGACTAGAAGAATGTGTTGTCATCAGGTAGAGCAGTGTTTGGAAGAAGATGAAGACTTCTTTTGTTTTGGAAATGTTGAGTGAAAGATGTGTATACAGCCATTTCAGTGGAAATATCATAAAGCAGTTGAATCTACAAGTCAAGAATTCCAGAGAGAGGTCTGGATTGAAAGTACACATTTGAGGGTTGTATAGCCTGGGGTAGTCAATGAAATTCCACATGATTTTTACTGAAAAAAGAAAAAAAATGAAAGTGACTTTTAAGAGGTTAGATCAAGGAGAGAAAGAACATCAGAGAAAGGTTTTGTTTTGTTTTAATTTGGGGAATAGTTGACATACAACATTGTATTAGTTTCCGGTATACAACATAGTTGATTTGATATTTATGTACATTTTGAAATGGTAACCACAATAAGCGTAGTTACCACCTGTCACTATACAAAGTTGTTACAATATTATTGACCATGTTCCCTGCACTGTGCATTACATTCCTGTGTTTCATGTATTTTACAACTGGAGGATTGTATCTCTTAATCTCCTTCACCAATTTCATCCATACCCCCAAATCCCTCTCCTTTGGCAACCACCAGTTTGTTCTTGAGAAAGGTTTTGGATTTAGGCAAGAAGAAAGGAAGGAATAGCAGATTACAGATAAATAGAAAAACAAAACAGAGAGTGGATCTATTTGGTTGGAGTAAAGATGGTGGGAAGGAAGCTTGAAAGTAGAAAATTTAGACCAGATTATCAGTAGCCTCAAAAAAGAAAACAACCAGGTGAAGTTAAGAGTTTATCCTGTAGGTCTGTGGCTCTTAAACCTCAGTGCACAGAAGTCTGTGCTGAAATGAAAAAAAAAAAAAAAAGCGGATTATATTTTTCATAATGCTAGATTTATTCAACTTGAAAGAATTCTTTTGTTCCAAAATAGCTCTTTCTGCCATTTTAATTTTGAAATATCCTTTAACTGAAGAAAGGATAACTGTAATAGTTTGTTGGATCTGCCCTTCCTTCCTTTTTTTTCTCGCCTTCCCTCTCTCTTTCCTCCTTGCTCTCTTTTCTTCCTTGGAATGGGAGAAGTATGTAGTGATAAAGAAAAACGGCACTCGACAACATTAAACAGGTAAGGAAGACCTTATTCAAGGCTATTACAAGGGTGCCTGACTGGAGCATGTGACTCGTCTGATCTTGAGGTTGTGGGTTCAAGCCCTACGTTGCGTATAGAGATTACTTAAAAAATAAAATAAAATAAAAGACTATTACAATAGGGGAGAGATTGAACTCAACAGAGATGGGACAAGGAGGTGGAGAGAATTGCAGGCCACCTGTATATGCTAACTGGTTTTACCCAAAAGAGAAGTAAACTTTCTCTTATTTACCAGACAGGAGGTAGTGTTAAAATTTGGAGCTAGGCACCCATGAAGTTAGGCTCCTGCCCTCCCACAGAGACTGGGAAGTAGGGGCACCATCTTGTTTGATGAATACACTTCAAAGGGATGGCTCTCAGGTTGAGAGAGAACTTCCCCCTTGGATCTGTAAAACTGGGAAGAAACTTCAAAGGAGACTTACATACATTTCAAAGAGGGAGAGAAAGATTTTGGAATTAGAAGTTTTCTAAAGTAGATTCTCTAAAAAAAAAAAGAGAGAAGTCATGGGCCTATTGTCAAGAAGAAACTTATCTGAAGTTTAATCAAGCTGAGGGAGAATGTAAGCCCATCTTGGTCAGTAGAATTAGTGAATAAGACAGGAACTAGCTCAAGAAATGGGAAAACCCCAGGACACTTAACTCTGTAAAGGAGCCAAAGGAAGGTTGGAATTCCAATATGAAAAGAAGGCAACATTAAGTGCTTCAGAGAGGTGAAAGATGAAAGGTCACAGGGGTCACAGTTACCTTGATGCTTCAGTCTAGGTTCATGATGTATGAATCACACATGTCTTCTGTGTGAATTTTTATTATTCCAGTGATTATTATAGGATAATAAATACTATAATTCACGTGATTGTTTTGCTAAAAATCGTAGCATAATTCATTTTTCCCATTAGAATTAGCCATTATTTTGTATTCACACTCAAATACCTCGAGTGTGTGGTAGTAATATTATCATTTTATAGACATGAAAAGTGAGCCTGTTGCCGTGAGATGTTCCTGCTGATGTGTGCATTAAATCTCTTTTCAAAACAAGATGGGTAAAATGATGATAAACACTCGGGTGTTGTATTAAGTGATATTCAGTCTGTCAGGCATTTTCAGATATGATGAGGTGCAGTTAGTGGGGTTACTCATTCTAGGATGATGCTTTTGGCTCTCACAGGCCTTTGAAAGCCAATCAAACAAAGCACCATTGCTTTGGCAATTGATTAATCTTCA